AAGCAAGCCAGCCAATTAATTTTATAATTAAACTTGAGTCAAAATAGTGGATCAAGCAGTGCAATTACAGGTATGCAGATATATCCTGTCAAAACACTGCTTTTCATTACTGATCTTGGAATAGTTGTTCCTGTCTGCTGTGAAGCTGGTTTCTTTTAGGAGGGTGTAACTTTTCAGTCTTGGAAAAAGAGTTTGAAAAAATCCTGTAGTAGATCCTGCGTGGAATATATACATTGGTGCCTGAGCATGTGAGGGTAGAAAATACAATGCCAATTAAAAAAACTGAGGGTGGGGGCAGGTGTCATGGAAGATCAGGGAAGAAGTAAGGCCTGTAGGCTTGATGGCTGTACTGGACAAAGGAGTAGGAACTATAATAAGGAATACAGTAGTTCATACCCGGGTAAACTTGATATAGTTGGGGAACATTACATGCCTTTTTGAAAGGAAGGTTATGCCTTTCCAACCAAGAGATCAAAAATAATTTCAGTAGGATCGTATGGTATTCCCCACTAAGACTTCCAGAAAGCCTCTGTCGAAGTTTCTAACAAAAAACTCTTGAAGAAACTAAAGCAGATGGGAGACTTAAAAGAAAAGGTTCTTGCACAGATAAGTAATTGGTTAAAAAGTAGGAGTCAAGGGATGGGGTGCTGTGCAATCCTTACCAGGGAGGGGAGTCACGTGTACTGCTCATAAGCAAGTTGGAAAACAGGATGAACCGTAAAGTGATCAGGATCAGCAAGGGCTAGTGCTAAATGTGAAGAATTATAGTAACCCCTCAAAAGATTGGGTGGCTGAGCGATAAAACAGCACATAATCTTCTATGTAGATAAATGTAGAGTGCTGTACGTGGAGAAGAAATTTGTACCTGCACATGTAAAATGATAGCCTCTGAGTTGAGTGTATTTCCACGCATATAGAAGCATATGAAACTATGAGTAGCATAGAAGCAATGGGGTTTGATTGTTCAGCATCTCGCTTAATAAGAGCCCTAGGGAGTACAAGTCTTTTAAACCAACAAAAGCTGGTTCAAAATAAACAAAAGATGGTGGTTTTTCTTGCAGTGTAGTCCGGCTGTGCGTGAAACGTTGTGCTGTGGACTTTTACAGCTAGTAAAGGTTTACATGATCTTACTGGGAAGCTAGACGAGCTCATGCAGGGGAAACTGAAAATCACTATATATGTAGGAATCACATTTGAATCACATCCACGTCAGGAAGTCTCTGAGCTTGAAAATGGATAGTCTCTCAGAGAGTAGTAGTAGAAAATATCATATATGATTGCCCTGTTTTTCACCTTCTCTGAGCACATGCTGTTGGCTGTTGTCAGAGTCAGGACGCTGGAGCTCTAGTGAGGCCATTCTTAGGTTGTTATATAGATTGGATGCAGCTCTTCCTCAGGATTTCAGTGCCGTGACTCGGAGAGGTTGGTTCATTTTTTTCGTGTCAATAAGAATTCGTTTCCTAAAGGTGCGTCTAGTGTTTTCAGGGTTTATGTTCCAGGCAGAAGTAAATAGAAATAGGACAGAATCTGCAATCCTGAAAGAAGCCTTTGGTCCTCCCTTAAAGGCCTTTGAATTTTCTCACATTGCTCAGAAGAAATGTTGGTCTTTAGTTTTCAAGATGGGGTATGTTTCAATCCTGTTATCTGTTCCTCCAGAAAGTAAGACTCCTGTTTATGGTTGAGAGGAAATACTTAGTACTTGTGAATGCAGAAGCAGTCCAATTTTACCTTTTGGACACAAAAGATGCGGTGTTTTTTGATTGAGACTGGTATTTCTGTACAAAAGAGAAAATTTCCTCTGTCTTGAAGACTATTAGGCTCTCTTTATCTTCTCTTTAAAGGAATGATATATAAAAGGATGGTTTGGAGCCATATATTAAACCAGCTGGGATTGTTTTCCAAAGTCAGTTAGACTGGGTCTAGCCTTAATAGGTCATAAGGTCTCAAAAATATGATGACCTGCTTAAAAAGAAATTGATTACTTGAGTGTATATTAATAAATCCATCATTGTAAACACTCCAGTAATCTTGCTCAGAAGATTATTGCAAGTCAATAAATTAGAAGCCATGCCACACAGATGCTTAATACAAGATTTTAGGGTTTATGTATAATTGACAAATGTCACTTTCATGGAATGGTTGAAGACCTCAGTCATGCTAAAAGACTGAAGAGCAACCGTTAAGATGAATCTTCTGTTCTGTAAAGCAAAATCCAAACCTGTTCCAACAACTTCAGCTACTCAGCTCTGCCCGCTGTTCCTTCATACCTGCTGTAGCAGTTGTTTCATAAATTAAATTTTCACAGTCTGCGGAGAAATTTGTTACAAACGGAAGTGTTCCCCATAGTTCTTCTTTGAACTAAGTAGTAAATACCTAGTAGTAGTAATTGTCTTTGGCCAAATTAGAAACTGCAGATGAGAGTAAGTAATAAATAATGTCTTTGCGAACACTGTATTTTGTCCTATTATTCCTGGGACATATTCTATTAATAAAAGTTATTCAGAATTTAATTCCATATTCTCTCTATATCAGGTATAAGTGGAAGAAAATGGCAGGAAAAGTTAACTGAAAAAGAAATTTCAGTGCCACCTACCTTTACTGTAATTCTCATGTTCAGTGCACACAACCAGTTGAATAGATACTAAAATAATAAATAACTTTTGTAAAATTTAATGCAAATACTTCAAAATATATTTAAATACATAATCTGTATATAAAAAATTATATATAAAAATGATCTGAAAAGCTTAAATGCTTTACTGAGCATCATATTTTGTATATTCTGTTTATCTATTTAATATCAGTTAGTATCTATGGCATGAGTCCTTAAATGTTTTTAACACCATAATGCATGATAGCAGATTTTTAGTTTGGGAAAGTAGAGGAAAGAACTAAGGAACAAGATAAATTTTATTACTATAAGAATTTAAAGATGAGATCATTGGAATTTTAAGATATTTCTGGTGAATGGAAAAGAGCCAGAGAAAATAAGGGAGGGAATAGCAGGATGGTGGCAACTAAAGGAATATTTCTTTACTGCTGAAAGATTTTCTGGGTTTTGTAGATTGCTTAAACAATACCTTTCTAAATCCCATTCTGGAAAGGTGTACAGGCAACCAACTTCAAATATCTGCTGATGTTACAGCACAGTAATCATATGAAGGGGAAATAGAGTGGGAAGAGAAGAAAGAAAGAAACGTAATTTTTTAACTTTCACACTGTATCTTACTAGTTTTCTCTGAGTGAAACGAGTATGTTTGATTTGATTTGGCAAGAATTCCAGATGTGAGGGACCACTGAAGGAAGTTGCTTTCCAAGGAACAATTTTCAACTAGAAGATAGCTGGGAAGGAATAAAATAAAAGATATGGAAGGGGAGCAGGCATAGAATCATTAAGGTTGGAAAGAGACCTCTAAGATCATCGAGTCCAAGGTAAGATAGATAAGAGGTGTCAGAATAGATAAGATAAGAGGTGTCAGAAGCAGCTCCTGTATGTTGGCCTAAGGACAAGGATAAATAATTTAGATTTTATTCAGATGTTGAGGAGAAGATTGTGGAGAAATTCAGTGCAGAGTCATGCATGATTAGAATAGTGAGTTGGGTAGGTGACTCTAATACTGATGTTTGGAACGGGTTTATAATGTCCTGAACGGGAACCAGAACAGAATGCCTGAAGCCGTCGCTCTCAAATGATCCAAGGGCCATGATAAAAAAATAAGAGATAATGCACTCTAGCCAGCCACTTTCAAATTCCAGAAGAAGCTTTTAGTAGGTTGTTTTTGTCATGTGTAGCAGACTATGGCTAAAAATGTTTGGCGCTGATTTGGGTTTCAATTATGTGAAGCTTGCCTTTACTTACCATCTAGCAAAAGTCACACACCATCTTTTCATCAAGAAATGATAAGCAAGATATGCTGCTTTTATTTTGGAAAGAATAACTTTCCATTCTTACATCGGAAAACAGAAAATTCTTCATCTGCTTTTGTCAGTTTAGATCTGGAACTGTTAGGTTTATCATCAGTAAATTTTGCATTTTGCAAATATTTAACACAGCATGGGTGCAATGGGATGCTAGTGATCGCTGTGTTACCAAAAGACGCTGGACATTCTTGGGGTTTTTTTAGGTAAAATTGCATAAATTTTCTCATTGTGGATTAATAAGCATCTAACAACTAAAAATTCTCATTCTGTGCATCTCCAGGTTATTCTTTTACTTTTGCCCTGTTCATGTTAATTCTGATTTTCTCCATTGCCATAAAAGATATTCTAATAAGGAAGGGGTTAGCAGGTTGGCTCTCACTATTAGCTGAGGATGAACAAAATGGCAGCTTAGTAAACCAAAGCAGATGATAGAAGAGACCATGAGAAACCAAAGCTCTAGTTTAAGAGAAGATTGCTCCTTGCAACTTTTGGTTCAAGTGTGTACCCTTTCTCTTAAGCAACAGATGTTCCCTTATTTATGTTCCTGTATGTCATGATGTTCTTTAATCTTTACATAACTTAAGTTCCTTTGGTATGAAAGAACATGTTTCTGATAGCTGGCAGTATGGTGACTGCTGGCTTTTTCATATTGTGTCAGCCAACAGCATGGATAACAAAAATATCATTCATAAAATTGTTCAAAAATGTTGAGATTATTTTAAATGTATCTTTTATGTATGTCCTATCAGTGTTTTCATTTGTTTCTGTGCTGTTTTATTTTCTTTCTTGAAATTTTCCATTAGCCAGAGAGAGATTATGAAGTATTCTAATTTTTATTTCCATTCTCAGCTTTTTATTATATGCAATGGCTTGGCTACAGTGCCTAAGCAGTTTTAAAAGGGAGCAGCAAATAAAGTAGTGAAGCACAACTACCTCTGTGGTAATGGAATTCATTGTTTCAGTCACTAAGTATTGTAATTCATTAGAGACAGCTAATATAGTCTGAAATGCTGAATTGTTACTTTTAAAACCAGTGAAAACCAGTAAGCATAATTAAACTGCCTTTTAATTTGCTTCAGAAATACAAGCCTGGTCGATGTGATGATATTTTGAAATGGAAGCCACCCAGCCTGAACTCTGTTGATTTTCGTCTAAAGATAACAAGAATTGGTGGAGAGGGGTATGTAATCTCTTCCCTTTTTAAATGTATAACACTCGTGTGAATGTCCCTTAGCAGTTAATCTCTCCTCTGATATTTATTGACACTTCCTGGGGCTAAGCCTTTCTATATTCTGTAGAATTTGTTCATTGAAAATATAGGCAACTGTTGTAATCAGTGTTATACTAAAAACAATGGCAGATGTTTATAATGTAAACTTACTCATTCTTAAATGAAGTTTCATAAAATTTCTAAAAAACATCCTGTTTGCATTTGGTACTACCCCTTATGTTTTTAGAAAGTAGGCAGGCTGTATTAGCTTAAGTTTTTGCATAAAACCAATGGAAAATAGTTATTTTATATAAAATAATAACAACCTAAACTTCCTTCCATTTTAGAATTCTGCACAATGACAAATGGCACTTGTTTTCTTAGAGAAAACCAAAACTTGACATTTTTACTCAATAGGTATTTTTGGTATTGTCTTTAAAACCAGTAAAATCTTAATCAAAAACAGTGAGTTCTAATGGCAGAAGACATGTAAGTCTTTACATTTCCTCAGTTCTGCGTACTATTTGCCTAGTTCAGTCACTGCACATATTAAATAGGGGCAATTTCCATGTTCAGTTTTGCCAGGGAGGGGAAGGGGAAGAGGAAGATTGAGTCACTAGATTAAAGCTTGCCTTGGAAAAGACTTTGTTTAAAACGAAGTTAATTGATTTTTAGGTTGCTTAATGTTTTAACATCTGGGACTCATTTCAACTGACAGTTTGAAATATTGACATTTTGCTTTTCTTTTTCTTGGTGCCACAGGCAACTCAATATGATTAAACAATTAATTCATATATTGCTTACGTATTCCAGAGTGCTAATAATGGCCCATCTAACTTTTAGACATTTGCATGTCATGTTAATGAATATATTTGGTGAATAGAGAGTATCTTAAGGATGTGGGGTTTATTCTGCAAAGTGTACTCAACTGCTAACTTCTGAGCATTTCATGAGGTCAGAATTATCTATTCAGATTTTTGTGTTTGAAAATGCAATATTAAGTCCTCAGTAACAACATAGCTATTTCAGAGAATATACAGGAATATTTTAAGTTTGTCTTCAGGGAATCAGCTCATTACAAACATCTCATGTTTGTTTGGCTTTTATTTAAGTTGCACAACAGTGTAATACGAAAGATTTCTGTAAAAAAAAAAAAATTAAAAATTACCCATTATTTGATAGGAAGGTTATTTTTATTACAGTATTCCTATGGCTTCTGCTGGAGTTTATAAATATACAGTAGTAGCCTGTGATTCAGAAGCAAAACGCAACAGATTTTTCATTTCACATTAAAAAACAAGTATTCGCTTGATTAGTTATCACTGATTTCAAATACAAAACTGTCAGTGCTATTGTGTTACGTTTAATATATTACATCATAGATTATTTGATCGGAATGTGAAAAGTTTATAAACTATGAGCCAGCAAAAAACTATTTCTAAAAAGTTGGGCAGCTAGCAGCAAGTTATTAAAGAATGGCTGATCCATTGTGGAATTGGAAACACTTTCTAACATTTAGAAAAGTTCTACCATATTCCAGATATGTGAAAATAAGTGCATCGCTCATATTGTGGAAATAGTTATCTGAGTTAGTCTGTAAATACTGTAATACTTAAATATGTTAATGTTTCTGTTCCTGTCACATGCATAAGAAAAAAATAATCCTAGAAATCTGACATTTGATAAATAAAGTACAATTCTTCCAGATATGTTTTACTTCATCTCACATGACAGTTGACTGCTATTAGTAACATAAGTGCATTCATCCAACAAAAAGAAAAGTTAATGAAGTACTGGGTGGAAAATAATAATTTGCCATTGTTGGGAGAGAGGTATTTGTGTCAATTAATGACCTATGAAACAGTAGCTTCTGCCCAGTTAAACACAAACAATGAATGAAATACTCCAGGTTTAACTGCTTCAGTTGTTAATTTGAGTATCCAATTTATCGCTTGGTAAAATCTGAACTCATTTGAGGAAACATCAGAATTATACTGATTTTGAAGTTGTTGACTAGAATTTTAAAAGGAGCATCTTTAATTTTAGACTCTAAAAAGGCAGTTCCTGAGTTTTGAGTACTACCATAATAAAATGGTTGATTTGTGATATAACTAAAAATTGTGTTTTGATGAACTGAATGTCTTGGCACTGGCAATTCTAACATGACAATATTAGGCTTCCTGCCTCCCCCCACCCCACTGAGGTTAAAAGCAAGCATTGATACTGGTTTCAACCTTTTAGGTAAAAAAATTTTCTTTTTCTTCAGTAATCCAAAAAGAAATCTGGCATGCATTTGACAGCAGAGTAATACAGATGTGGTGAAAGTACTGTTACAGAATTTGTGTGTTGTTTTGGTACAGTTAAGCAATAATATTTATGGAAATAGAAGGTATGCCTTTGTATTGATCTCTTACTGACAAAAGAGGAGCCAAAGTCAAAGTATTGATCTCAAATACTTGACAGCTTGAAACAATGAGAACAGGGATGGTCTGTAATTTCCAAGTCCTCTGTTCTGATTTATAGGCTCATCTTTAAAACTTGAAATGCAAACATGTAGACATATCTAAACCTGTGCTAGAAGGGTGTGTGATCTTATTACAGTTTACAGTCTCACCAGTAGTGATACAGGCTGAACCTGTATCGCAAAACTCCAACCATGCAGCCCTTGTATTTATGGTTCCCTGTTCACTTAAATAGCGAAAAAAGCATATAGGAGCATTATTTATTCAGTAGCATGAGATTAGAGCACTGTCAGCTGTTGGATATGTCTTTTGGATAGCATATGTAATTGAGATCCTGAACAATTGTAAACAATCTTGTGCATTTTTCGTATGAATAAAGGAGTTACCTCTAGGGAGTTTGCCAGATTTTAGTCAGTATGATTATTTTCCATCTACCTAACGTTCCCCTGTGTTTTCAGTTGTGCATTTCCATCCATAGATCAGCCTGCAATAGTAATGTTAACTGCAAAATAGCTGCTGTGTTTCACCCCAGATGTAGTTCAGTTATGGATGAATGACCAATTGTTTTTATCTAGGGTTCAGTTATTTCACTGTTGATATCGGAGGGACTTTTGCCATTGAATTAAAAAGGATTTGGCTTATGATCTATGAAGTGCTTTTAGAATAAGCTTCCCTATAAAGACGAAGACTGCATAACAAAGAATAAACATAAAGAAAAAAGATACTATTGCATCCCAAAGAAAGGCAGGGTTTCTGTAACCTCAGTGACCTAATCCTGACACACTCCTGTTCAGTGCACATATTTGAAAGAAATTGCATTATTGCATCTTAGTGAGTTACAGCTCATCAGCTGAGCCATGGTAATTGTCCCCTGTGTATTGTCATAGTCCAGCCTGTCCAAGCATCAGGATGATGGTTAGATTAACTCTTTTTATGTTGTTTGCAAGAATTCCAGCTTACGCTCGCTCTCAATCTCTTCTCATCACATCAATATAGTTACTTTCGTTTAAAAAAATAAAAACAAACAAAAAACCCCAAAACAACAACCAACAACTTATTAAATCAGCTAAACGAGAGAGTACTTTGTTGTTTATCTGTGGTGAAACACAGCAGTTGAACTGAACAGGCCTCACATGACCTGTGCTTTAAAAAGGTAGACTCACTTCCCAGCACTTCTCTATCATTTCAGGTTTACTAAGATAATGGTCTCACATCAGCAATGCGAAGTAGACCCTTTTGATCATGTAACAGTACCTTGTATTCTTCCTAAATTATGATGATACGGATAGAAAATAAAATAACAGGGACTTGAGCACATCAACTGCATTTCCAAATGACCTACAAGTTAAACGACCTTAGCAGAAGAGAATGTGGAGCATATGCAATTGCTGTGTGCAATATCTCAGTTATATTACAGAGAAGACTGTTTTTAAACAGTAGAGATGCTTTTTCCCAAAATGTCTGACTCTAAGAATATTTCTTAAAAAAAATAAAAACCCCAGACCAACTCTGAGCCTTATTTAAATGTCACAAATATCAACTGAAAATGTCTACATAGTGCCAGATTTGTGGTAGCTTCCAAAACCAGAATTTCTTAAATGTCCATGCTTCCTTTTACAGTTTTTTAATTAGCCTGTGCAAGTCCCTTAATTTTATCTGAATCAGATGTGCTAAAATCAAATTACAAGCAAGGCTTTGGTTTTATTGGCTTTGAATGAATATCTTACTGGGTTAATTCGATACCATTTAAAATCACAGAATAATATAAATTTTATATAGGACCTTGACGTATTGGAAAGAATCAAGAATTTTACTCATCTTCTAAGAGAGAAAGGCTTGTTTCTTTAAAAGAAAGTTAGTAATCTGAAGTAGACATGAACTCTTTGTTAGTAGCAAGTCTATATTGGTTTTTTATTGTATCCATGATTAAGTAGACCACATGGGGAAAAAAACCAAACAAACAGCATTTAGGCAAAGTTGTGTTTAGCTTGGGCATTGTCAAGTAATAAAAAATGGGAGATAAAGTACAACACATTCGAGGACAGTGGGGCCTTCAAATCTTGACAGCAGGGGCTTAAAATCTTGGATACATTGGTGATTACAAATCAACAACCAGATACAGATATCATGACTACAAGCCAGTGAATGTTTTCCTTTTGTTAGATGTGATGTTGTCTTTTTTCTTCTGTAAATTAGAAGGAGCTTCTGAAGGGGGGGAAGAAGCTGCAACTGGTTCATAATAATCGTGATGTTCTTGATTTGCTCTCTTATAGCTATGTTGTCTGTCACAGGGTGGCTTATCCGTTTTATAAGCTAGTCTTCTTCAGTCTTCTGCTTTGAAAAAAAATTGATAACTGACTGAAAAATCATGAAAGTTAAGCTAAGATCAGCAGAACTGACATGATTGATTGGCCTGTGTTTTGTTGCTCCCTCCTCTCTTTCCATTCCCCCTTTTATGTGATTCATAAATGGTTGGTTTGGGCTGTGAGCTCTTTGCTTCTCAGCTGT